AATGTTTTGGGTTTTTTGTCGATTTTGCAAAACGTTTGTGGATGAGACGCAGGATAACCATTAAAGACGAAAAAGGCGTGTTAATGGAAATAGCAAACGCTTACAAAATCTGAAAAACGGACCGGACGTTTGACCTGTCTACCGCGTCGGTCGGTTGCCTGGGGTTGAGGCGGGATAGGTTGCGGGTCAAGGGGTACGGAGGGTTCCGGGCTATCCAGTGCTCGGGAAGTCACCACAGGTGCGGGTGCTTGTGCGAGAGCATCAGGATGGGCTGCAAGTGGCTCGTCAAAGAAAGCCACTTTGAGGCGGTCGATGGACACCGTTGTTCGGTGACCATTCTGGTCTAAAGTAAAATGTTTCGGAGTCCGTTGCAGAACTCTGAAAGGGCCAGTGTAGGGAGGCTGGAGAGGGCGCCGCACTGCGTCGGTGCGGAGGAAGACGTGAGTGCAGGTAGAGAGTCCGCTGTGCATTTGCACATCTCTAGTCTGTTCACGGGGCGGGGTCGGGCGTAGTGAACGCATGCGTTGAGCTAGGGAGGACGCAAAGTTAAGCGGAGGCATACCCGACGATGCGGGAGGTGAAACGAATTCTCCTGGTAACTTGAGCGTCGTGCCGTAAACCAGCTCTGCTGGTGCACATTGCAAGTCAGCTTTGATGCTGCTGCGAATGCCTAAGAGTACGAGCGAAATGTTTTCGCTCCAGCTAGGGTCGGAGGAGGCGCAGAGCGAGGCTTTAAGCTGTCTATGGAAACGTTCAACTAACCCGTTGGCTGCTGGGTGATACGCTGTGGTATGAATGCGGCGACAGCCTAAAAGTTGCAGAACGTATCGAATTGTGAAGATTCGAAAGGCGTTCCTCGGTCAGTTGTGATGGTGGATGGGCATCCGTAGTGCGAGACCCATCGGTCCAAGAAGGCCCGGATAACAGTCTCAGCTGTGCAGTCTGTTACGGGAATGGCTTCTGGCCATCTGGTGAAGCGGTCGACACATGTAAGAATGTATACGAATCCGCGTGAAGGAGGCAAGGGACCTACCAGGTCTAAGTGTACATGCGAGAACCGAGAGTCCGGGGCAGGAAATGAACCAAGTGGACTGCGGGTGTGACGATGTACTTTGGAGCGCTGGCATTGAAGGCAGGCGCGAGCCCAGGTACGAACATCTTTGTTTACGCGTGGCCAAACGAAACGTTCGGTGACCAGTTTCAAAGATGCACGGATACCGGGATGTGATAGTGAGTGCAGTGCGTCAAAGACTGTGCGTCTGAAGGAGACGGGCACGAGGGTCTAGGACAACCTGTGGAAGTGTCACACAGGATGGTTCCTTCCGTGGTTTGGAGAGGAACAGGTTGCACATGCAGCGAAGTGGACTGCAGAGTGCGCTGTATATCTTCGTCTTGAGCCTGAGCCGATGCCATGGCGGCAAGGTCGACGGTAGGCAAAGACTGCAGAGTGAGGTTGACGCGTGAGAGAGCGTCGGCGACGGGATTGTCGACACCTGAGACATGACGTATGTCAGCAGTGAACTGCGTGACAAAGTCTAGGTGTCTTGTTTCCCGTGGTGAGTATTTGTCGCTAGCAGAGTTGAAGGCAAAGATAAGGGGCTTGTGGTCAGTGTAGACCGTGAAAGCGCGGCCTTCAAGTGTGTGCCGGAAGTGACGTATCGCTAGGTAAATGGCGAGCAGTTCTCTGCCAAACGTGCTGTAGCGGGATTCCGCTGGCTGCAGGCGCTTGGAGAAGAACCCAAGGGGTTGCCATTGCCCACCAACGTGTTGTTGGAGGACGGCTCCTACCGCGACGTCTGAGGCATCAGTCGTAATAGAAAGAGGTGCAGTCGATTCGGAATGAGCGAGGAGGGCTATGTTGGAGATAGCATCCTTGAGCTCGGCGAAGGCTGCCTGTGCTGTGTCAGGGAAAGCGAACTTACGTTCATTTCCTCTGAGTAAGTCAGTCAGTGGCTGCATGAGCTGAGCGCAGCGCGGAATGAAGCGTCGATAGTAGTTGACCAAACCACAAAATCGACGGAGGTGCTTGAAGAAGTCGGAGCTGGGAAGTCCTTGATTGCCTGGATCTTATCAGGAAGGACTTCGATACCAGACGATGAAACGAGGTGGCCTAGGAATTCTACCGTTGATTTGCCGAGTTCGCACTTAGTCGGGTTGACTGTGACACCGTGTTGGGTCAAGCGCTGGAAGAGAGCTCGAAGATGCTCGAGGTGCTCTTGTTCCGATGAACTGGCTACTAAGATATCATCGAGGTAGGAATATGCGAAGTCAAGGCCACGAGTGACATCGTGGATGAAGCGTTGGAAGGTTTGTGCGGCGTTGCACAGTCCAAATGGCATTCTTAAAAATTCAAACAAACCGAAAGGAGTGATGACGGCTGTTTTAGGAATGTCATTGTCTTCCACAGGTATCTGGTGATAGGCGCGAACCAGATCGATCTTGCTGAAGATCGTCTTACCTGTGAGGCATGCGGTAAGGTCCTGCATGTGTGGGATGGGATACCTATCTGGGACGGTTAGGCGATTGAGTGCGCGGTAATCACCGCAAGGGCGCCAGTCACCAGATTTCTTGGGGACCATCTGCAGGGGCGAGGACCAAGGGCTGTCGGAAGGGCGGATTATTCCAAGTTCAAGCATGTGCTCAAACTCCGCCCTAGCTACCTTTAGTTTCTCAGGCGATAGTCGGCGTGGACGGCATGACACAGGTGGGCCATTCGTCCGTATGTGGTGCGTGACTTGAGCTGCCACGGGCAAAGCTGCGTTCATTGGCTGAACGAGCTTGGGATACTGAGAAAAGAGATTAGCGTAGTCTGGCGAGGTCTGGGGAAATGCATAGACCGGGGATATAGATGTGACATCGGCGGTGATGCCACGTACACTGAGTTTTGTTGCAGTGTCGACTATCATCTGGCGTTTCGCATCGACCAAGAGGTCGAAATGCCTGAGAAAGTCAATGCCGATGATGGCAAAGGGGACTGCAGCGACAGGTGAATACCCAGCGGAAAGTGCGCCGAAGACCTAGGTCCAGGGTAAGTGACCGATGACCATAGGTGGCTATTGGCGTGCCATTGGCGGCACTGAGGCTTGTCGACAGAGAAGTGGTAGGCTCACCTGGCATAGGGGGAATGACGCTGACTTCCGCCCCGGTATCAACTAAGAACTGGGTATCGGAGTCATAATCCCTAATGTAGATGAGACGACTTTGAGCTTTGCCGACGTTCGTGGCCATTACAGCCCGGCGTGGCGGATCATCTATAGCGGAGTAGCTACACGGCTGTACGCACTTACGGGCTTTAGTACCGAAACGCGAGTGGTAAAAGCAGTAACCTGAGGCATCAGGTTTTGTGCGACGGTGCGATGATCCAGAGCGGTTGCGGTGCTTACGTTTTAAGGTGAGTTCCTTGATCTGGCGCTGAAGCGACGCTATCTGCAATGATAATGCGTCTATTGCCGACGGCGGGCTAGTCGCGCCTGTCGTTGTGGTTGCGCCAGCGCAAAGCTGCTTAGGTGCTTTGGTTTCAGTCTCTGGCTGGTGCCGTTCGATGACGCGGTCTGCTAGATCTGCAATTGCTGTGATGAGCAAGTCACTTGCTACTGCAAGGATAGCCTGTGTGCTTTCAGGAAGGCGTTGCATCCACAGCTCGCGGAGAATCCCTACGTCCATGTTGGACGTGCCGATGAGCTGTTGCATTTCGCGCAACAAGGCTGAGGGCATCCTATCTCCTAGCTGCAGATCACTAAATAGTTGCTGCAGACGGACCTTGTCAGAAGGCGTGATTCGCTGAATAATAGCCTGTTTAAGTGTCTCGTATTTCATTACAAGAGAGGGGCAAAATATGATGTCTCTCACCTGCGAGGATATACTCTGAGGAAGGCAAGATATTAGCTGATTATACATGGCGAAATCAGAAGAAATCTTACGAATATAAAATACGGATTCTAGGTGCAAAAACCATAATAAAGGATCATTCTCCCAAAAAGGGGAGGGGCTAAGGCAACAGAATTGACCATGACAGGCTGAACGGCGTTAACCGCGCATGGAGACGGCTTATCCTCTAGATTATCCATTGCAAAAAGCAGATAAAAATGTGGTAGGTGAGAAAACAATATGATCACAAGTAATGAATCACAAAATCACTGGAACGAGCTCACCAGAATGAAAATGCAAAATGGCGGGCGGCGTGTTCCTGACAGGGGGTCACCAATTGTTGGGCGGAGCCTGGGATACTAGTCGGTAAGCAATGACACGTAAGACGTGTCAAATACGACAGTATAGAAGTCGGAGGCGACTGAACCCAACGTATATTGTACAGGCTACAAGAATAGGAAGCGAATCAGACAGAGCGAGAAACGTGCAGCGAGGTACTCACCAAACGGTTTGTGACAACGGACGTGCAGTCAGTAAAACAAATGGACGTTTCGAAGGTTAAAACAACCATAAAATCCAATGTTACAAGATACTGAAAGAGCATGTTTTCTGTTGCACTACAAGGTGCGGTGCGGTCTTTGTATTAGGCTCTTAACATCCCAAGTGGACTTAGCAAGTACTGCTCCAAGGATACACCAAAGAAGGAAAAGTCCCGGGATTGTCCTATCCTTCCGGTCCCAACTGAACTTGAAATTGCATGTTTTAATACAGGCGCAATGTTCCACCTCTTGGCGTAGATACGTGACAGCTGCATAATCAGTTTGGTTGGCCAGGGTGCGATACGGGTGTTTCCGTTTTAGATCCATCAATAACTGAGCACTTCACCAATTCCTGGCTCAACGATCCACTCAGATGGAAACACTCACGGGATTTTCCTATCGTTCCAGTCCCCATCTGAACTGAACTGAACTGAAATAAGCCGAGACATGGAATAGTGCCGTTGGACTGACTTGTTACCGACTTCTGTTGGTTACCAAAAACCAGATAGGCTTTATAGGTTAATCTTTATTTTGGCGTTATCTCTCGGGTTGTGCATGCAAGGAAATTGTACCCAAGCACATACACCGCTGTACGTTCGTTTCACACCCGCGAACTCGTCGGTACTCTTCGGTTGTGATTCTGAGAATCGGACAGTTTCGTGGTGCGAATGATGTCTCGGATTTCGAAGTCCGGTGTTGAAGACTACGTTCGAGTCCCCCTTCCAGGAGATTTAGATTCAAATGTAGAATCCGAATCGGAGCTTGTTGGATATTCCGCGCCATCTGTATGTGAAACAATGTACAACGAACTTTGCCGCTTATGGCTTCTAGATTTCGGACGGCTCGGCGGAATCCAAGACATCATTAACCCTCTGGAATTTCTCGTTTTATCAGCAGTACTTCGATGTGGACACTACTCAAGTTAGTTTTTTTCTTATGCTGTGGTTTACAGCGTCACGCCATGCATCATAACATATTGTTTAACTTCTTTTTTGTATATCGTCGCGCTAGCTGTATTTCTCCCCCTCATCTAACGTCTGTTACCGCTGAAGATGGTGTTGATGATACCACACATTGTGGCAAGGGCTGTTACTGCAGGTCATTCGGGATCCTGACCACCGAGATGTTCGTTAAACTATTTTCGGCTTTTGTAAGGTCGTGCTTGGTGTAATGCGTTCAGACTTGTCCTCCACGCCTGGTTCGTGATAAGATGGCAGTTGAACGAGTCCTGCGGTCCGGGACGAAAACCGTGCACGGATTAACGAAGCTGACGTACCTGGAGAGGCTACGTAAGTTGGATATGTTTTCCATGTATTACAGGCGGCTTTGAAGCTACTTGGTCCTCACATATGGTATACTGATGGGTCATATTGGTCCTGATTTGACTAGACCGTTTCGCCCAACTCTAGTGCCATCCCTTCGTGGCCACCCATTAAGATTGCACAAACCCCGGTCTGACCGGGTTTGGGCAGCTTTTCGGTTATCGCGTAGGGTCAGCTTATTGGAACGCATTGCCTGCAGACCTCGTGATGACACCGACGGCGAAAGAGTTCGAGCATCGGCTGACGCTCTTCCCCATCATGTCTTAAACTTTACCACTGCTACGGCGTACGCTTCTTTAACTCATTTTAACTTACCTCTTAATATTGCCTACGAAATTCGATAAGCTAGTCTTCTCTGTTTCCTTTCCCTTACTGACACTACTGTTTTCTTTTATTCTTCACGTGGCCGACAGCGGGGACTGCTAGTGCAGGGCACGTGGGCATTGTTTGGTGGACCATGTCAATCGTGTGTGTTGATTTGGCGCTCCTTTGGCACATCAATGCATCGGTTTCCCTGTTGCATCGACGAGGTTTTCGAAGGTGGAACATTCACGGGATTTTCCTACTGTTCCGGTACCTCTTGAACTTGAAAATGTAGGCAGTAATTGGCTTACGAGGGTGTGTACTCGCTGGAAACTCAGACTGCCAACACCTGAGTCTATGCATTCCCGTTGTCTAGGCTAGATCAAACTAAACACAACTGTTATGAAACCTGCTAAAGCATGACTCGAACTCATCACCTACACCTGTTGTTGTTTATCCCCTGTTCCTCTACACCAGTTGTCAACCTTTTTAAGGTTGCTGCCCACAATACGGGTTTGCTACAAACATTTACCCCCAAAACTTTTCTTCTAAATATCAACTTACCTGTTAACTATCGCACTTTTTGCTTTAAATTAGGGAAAATGTCTACTACTTTTATTTACTTTTTATCATTAAGTAATGAAAACTATTTTTGAGCTCTTCGTAATGAGGCTGGACCTTACCATGTTGCGATGGTCTGCGTGCCTCAGAGATCCATTGAGCTATTCTGGGTGGTGCTTTTTTGCACATTCAGACCGACTCATATCTGGTTAGTCAGTAGCTAGAGGCCAGATAAATTCAGCCTCCCCGTCCTCTAGACTGGGGTTGGAATAAGGGTGTTGCCTTATTCCTTAAAACGGACTCCTTGTAGTCCACCATTAGAGCCGCTGCATTGCGGTCAGGTTTTTGAACCAAAGGCTTTGGCTGAGAACCCTAATCGTTCTCCTGTCTAGGCCTGGGCAACCTGACAGTTCCCTGCCCACGCAAAACAATGCAACCTTCATCAAACAATGTCTTGATTCTCTGGCCGTCGGAAAGGATAATAAACGGCGCCTTATCTGTTATATCGAGCAGTGTATAAGGGTTTGGATGTTAATGCTCAAGCCTTCTCCTCAGGTCAGGTCAGATCTTCAGTGACGTAACAAGTCTTCGCCTAACAAGCGTGCCGGTAAGCAAGCCAAGGACCCTAGCACTTCGATGTTCAAGCTTTACTTCTGCAGATAAAAAATAGTAAGATAAATGTCCTATAACTTTATGAAAACATTCGTGACATCTTATCGGTACTCATTGAAATCCACCAATTTCAGTGTAATCCTGGAGAGTGGACCTATTCATTTCTAGGTCTCTTAAAGACTTCCAAAGTATTACATTCCACTAGTGCAGGGGGAAGTGAATTCCAACGTGGTTAGTGAAACATGTCGCTCTGGTATTTAGTCTGGACCAATGCGTCATGAGCTTCAGATGGTGTCCCATCAGGTGATCCGACGTAGCTAGTTCAAAGAGGTCAGTAGGTTTAATTCACTGAGACACTTCATAATATTGAGCTTATCTATCAGATCTCCCTTTAGTCTGCGTCGTTCCAATGACAACAAGTCTAAACAATTCAGGAGATCAACATACGACTTCTCACGCCGTCCTTCAATCATCCTGGTGGCCAGTCTTTGTACCTTCTCTAAGCAAGCGATATCCTTTCGAAAGATGCCTAAGCCTAAACACAATACTCTAAGTGCGGCTGAACCACCCCATTGTACAATAAGAGACCTCAGGTTTCGTGTTACACAATGATCTCCTGAGACGAAATGGTTCCTGCCATGCTCTGTTAGCAGCATATTGGCACTGCTCCGAAGGCCTTAAGATACCTAACATAACGATGCCTAATTCCCTCACCTTATCTACATACTGCACTGTCAGAGACCCTGTGGCTGTCTGCACTTTACTAGATGATAAGGACTGACATTTGCTCGCCTTCCATGTCATCATATGATTCAGACCACTTTTCCACAGTGCCCAAGTCTTTAGACAGCGTATCCCTATCTCCCCTATTGACAAGGTCAGGTCAGGTACAACGGACGATAGAGGGTTTCGTCTAACGATCGTCCTGTTTCTTGTGCTGGTAAGTGAAGCGGCTCCCGGCACTTCGACGTTGGACTCTCGCTTCTGCAAAGGAATAAAGCAAGAACATGAGTAATTTTTGCACTTTCATGTGTCGTCATCAAAATACACTACATATTCCAGTATAATTACAATCTCTTTGGGAGAAGGTCAAACCAACGCTCATCTAAACCTTTTTTAAAGACTTTGACAGACTCACATTCCACTAAATCATAAGAAAGTTTATTCCAGATGTTAACCATTCGGTTGCCCTGATGTCCAAACGAGCTCAATGATGCTTGGGTTTCAGGCGTTGCCCACGCAGGTGGTCCGACAACTAACTCAGGTCCGACGTAGCTAATTCAAGCTTTACGTCATGCGCAGCAATCTAACAGGTGTTCTCGAGGAGTACAGTTAGATCATTTATAAACATAAGGAACAACAACGGTCCTAGCTTTGAACCCTGGAGTGTCCGCTATGGGCAGTGTCCATGCTAAATCTGGCCTCACCAATTCTGACACTGAAATTTCTGCCACAGAGAAAATCCGACAACCAAGTCATCAGCTGGGGATGCATCCCAAACCAAATCAGCTTCTTCAATAAAAGCTAAGATTAATCAAGTCAAATGCTTTACTGAAGTCTAGGTAGCAGACTTCCACTGGAATCCCTATATCGAGGCATCGAGTTATCTCGTCCAAGAAACACGACAGATTCGTAAGACGTTATTTCTAACGAAGCCACGCTGTACCGCTCCAATCAAGTTGTTAACAATTAAGTGTTCACAAATTCGGTGTCTAATGAGCTTCTCCAGACACTTAAGCAGAGTACTTGTCAGACTGACGGGCCTATAGTTGAGTGGCGCAGCCCTGGACCCCTACTTTTGAATTGCCACAACAGTCGCCTCTTTTCAGTCATGTGGTTGCCTACCATCCCGAAGAACAGTTGTATAAGTCCAAAACAATATACTGAAAGATATCAGCGAGCGGCTTAACAATCGCTGGATGAACATTGTCAGGACCTGTCGATTTATAGGGGTTTAAGCCAGCCAGCACCTCAAGGATCTCTGATGCGATTATTACGTCGTGCATTTCAACGTCACATGAGAAGTATGACTGCGAGGGGATTGCACAGCCACTGTCTACATGGTGCAAGTGCTGAAAGACACGCAGTAACACCTCCGTCTTAGTTGCATCTTCCACAACCTCACTGCCATTCTCCTTAGTCAAGTTACTAATCCCCTATCTCAAAGAAGCTTTGACTAGACATAAATAATACAACTTTGAATTTCTTTTTTGCATTCTGAGCTACTTTGAGCTCAGAGTGGTATTTAGCTCGCCTCTGCAATTTGATTGCTCTATTCCGATATCGTTTATAGTGTAGCCATTGCATGAAGCCTCTAGATTTCTGAAAACTTTTCCAACAAGTATTACTTATCCGAAGTATTCGGGCAATTTCACTTCGCCACCAGTGGGGCTTATTCCTGCTTCTATCGGGGGCGCAAGGGGGCGAACTCATCTAGCAATTGCATGAGGCCAGACTTAAGCATGCCCCATCTTTGATCTAAATTTGTAATAAAAAATTAATCGCCAACTGTAAATCATAACGGTGCTTCGTTGCCACGCGACCACCATAAGTCGCGCGTGGGCTGAGTATACCGCGAGAACGCCCGCCCCTACGCGGAGTCGAACCGGTGACCTTATGGTTGCAAACCAGAGGCGCATACCACTCGGCCACCGGCCGATGGCTCTATTCTCCAAACCGCTAATATCAACTCGACCAACCTTTCTCACAGATCGAGGTTTCTATGGTAGCTTCTTCACACTCACCGAAAAGGTAAGAACACAGTGATCGCTCCTACCTGTGGGTGCCTCCGCATGCATCTCTGTTTCATGGTCATGCTTAGCGATCACATCTAAAGTGGAGGGAGTAGTCCCAATTCGACTTCTCGTCGGAAAGACGTGTTGAGCGAACGCATTCTCCTGCATCCATTCAACCAATTCCCACTCCAAAGTACCTATCACGTTGATGGAATGCTCTCAGTCTGCATGTGGAAGATTTAGGTCACCAATTATAACGAAATTCGGTACAGCAACTGCTGCCTGTTTTGACATGTTGCTGAGCTCTTTGTCATCGACTCTCGTGGAGAAAGGGCTACGGTACACACAGGCGAAATTATTCAACCTACTATCTACCTTCAAAAAGGAG